ATTTGTTTAAGAGGCCTTCGGTAATCCTAAGTCATGACACACACACACACACACACACACATATATAAATGTCTCAAAGTAGAATTCTACTATGAATCAATATTTGAATCATTTTTTTCCATAATTGAACTAGTTGGTAATTCAAATTTTATTTAAATTTTTTGAACTTTTGCATTTTTAACTATAAAATTACTAATCAAGTTTGTTTTAACCAAGTTATCAATCAAACTCATTCAATCTTTCTTGGGACATACTTCACTGATCGTACGATTTAATCAATTTTAAATTTGAAACGTTTCTTTTTTCCATAAATAATTGTAAGTAATAACTATAATTAATAATATTCTATATATAATTCATATATTTAAAAAACAACCATCAATTAATTTTAAATAATTCACACTACAACATTTTCTTAGTTTAGTGACATTTGAAAGTGCCACAAAACTATTCTTCTAATGACATTTTTTGGTCTTGTGTATTCTATATATAATTCATATATTTAAAAAACAACCATCAATTAATTTTAAATAATTCACCATATCAATAATTTTTGTTTTTTTGAGACCCTTTTGAGCAAGTATGATAACAAAAAAAAAAAAATAAGAACTATTTTTGGAAGATAGTTATAATCAACTTTTTGATTAAAAATTGATTAAAAATTACTTTTTGTGAGAAAAAAAAAATAAATTATAATCTGAAAAGTGAATTATACCTCACTCTCAAAAGACTCCCACGACTTACTTGATATTTTATCAATTTTTTTAGGACCTCTTTCCATCAATGAGTAATGATTCATCCCCCTTTTCCCCCCACCCCCTTTGACCCCCTCTCTCTCTCATTGGTTACCTTTTCTTTTTCTTTTTCTTTTTTTTCCTGCTCCTCCAATCACCACCTGCCACGTGGCAAAGGGGGGTGACCCCCAAAAGGGGTCCCAAGCATTATTCTTCCATCAATTTTCGGAACACAAAGTGGCGGCTTGTGCCCAAAGCCAGCAGTGGAGAGAGAGCAGTAGAGAGAGAGAGTACAAAGAAGACAATTAAATAGAAGAGACAGAAAAAATGTTTTGGTTTGGTTAGGATTTGGTAAACAATATATATACGTAACTAGTTTGGTCACTTCGTAAAAATTTGTCTAAATTTGTCCTTATGGATGATATTTTTGAGTGTGGGCATTTCAGGGAAAAAAAAAAATCTAAAATTAAATTTATGCATCCAGTGTCCTTTTTATGATTTTTTTTATCTAATTTTACAATTAAATTCATGAGTTCCTTCTAACAATATTACTTAAAATCTCAATTTGAATAATTTTACTTGTCACATCATTCTTTTTGTTTAAATTTTTGGGCAAATTACATATACACCCCTCGAGGTTTGGCTAAATTACAGATACCTCCCTGAGGTTTCGGAAATTACATCCCGCCCCCTGAGGTTTGTATTTTCATAACAATTTGCCCCCTGAGGTTTATATTTCATAACAAATTACCCCCTAATTTCTTATGCAAATATAGCATTCAGGGGGGAATTCGTAATTTCTTTTGGGCAAATTACATATACACCCCTCCAGGTTTGACAAAATTACAGATACCCCCCTGAGGTTTGAGAAATTACGAATTCCCCCCTGAATGCTATATTTGCATAAGAAATTAGGGGGTAATTTGTTATGAAATATAAACCTCAGGGGGTAAATTGTTATGAAAATACAAACCTCAGGGGGCGGGATGTAATTTCCGAAACCTCAGGGGTATCTGTAATTTAACCAAACCTGGAGGGGTGTATATGTAATTTGCCCTTTGTAATAACTTCACCATCCCTGACATCGCTCTCCAACCCCTCTGTCTCTCTCCGACCTCCGCGTCTGACAATATAAACTAAAATTCAGTCAATCGGGAAAAGGCCGACAAACGGAAAATATACCAAGAAGACGGGAAGGCGTAAGCTATTTTGAGGATTTCTTAAAGCTTAATTTGATTGCCAAATTTTTGGGTTTAAAATTTTTACAGATTTGGGATTTTTCATAATTTGATTTGAGATTTTGTTTTGAGTTTCAAAATTAGCACTTGTTTTTCTGTTTGTTTGTTGTAATTGCATTGGGTGTTATTTGTATGTTTTAGTTGTGTTTATGATAGTCTTTGTAATGCATTGAAAGTGTTTGTGAAAATGTTTGTGATAATATTCTCAAACGAAATTATATATATATATATGTGTGTGTGTGTGTGTGTGTGTTGACATTTCATGGAACAGATATAATTCTTTTGCCTATTATTGTCTTATACTAATTCTTCTCGAAATTTTTTCTCTCTTCTTTCTTCTTATTTATTTATTTGTTATTTTTTACAGCAGTGTTAGGAATACAGAATGATTCATAGAAAATATAATGGATGGTTGGGATTAAACCCCCTTTACTGGGTTCATAGTTAAAATAAATTTCATCCTGTCAATGCACTTCCTGTGATTCATTCTGTGTTTCTATTTTGTGTTTTTGTTATTTATATTTTTTGGGTGATGGTTAAATATTATACTTTCTAGTTGGATACCATGGGTTGGTTCGGGAAGGGGTTGGCTTTTTGGCTTTTTTGGCTATTTTAGCCTGGGCTAAAAAGGTTGGTTTGGGAAGAGTTTTTTCACCAAGGATCCTCTAGAGTGAAATTTCCCTAAAGTTTCCTAAAGTCCTACATCGTGTGGTTGAGATTTACTGGCAAGTCACATCAGAAAAATTGATGTGACTTGCCAGTAAATCTCAACCACACAATGTAGCACTCTAGGAAACTTTAGGAAAAAATCACTCTAGAGGATCCTTGCTCGAGTTTTTTGGCTTTTTTGATTTTTTTTGTTAGAGGAAAGTGTAATGATTATGGGTTGGATTTGATATTTTATTTTTTGTGGTTAAAATAGCCTATTTTGTCTTTTGTGGTTAAAATGGCCAAAAAAGCCTAGTTCAGCTCTTCTCAAATAGTGCCGGCAACATGTTCCTGTCAATTCTAACCAATTTATCTGTTTGATTAGTAGGGTTTGGAGATCAGTAAAGCTTTGCATCCATGGATGGAAGTTGAGTGTTGTGTCTTGTTTTGAAGAAAGAGGTCATGCTTCATTTGGTCAAACTGAATAGATACAGTAAATTTTTTCCTCAAAAGCTAGCATTATTTCGTACCTTTGCTTTTAAATCAACCTCCCAGCCTCACTCTTCTGTAGAAAAACAAATTGAAATCGAGACAATCATCAAAATTGTTAATGATCATCCTTTTCCTGATCACCCACTTCACCCCACTCTTCTGCAAAATATCCCGCAATCAGTGCTTTCACCTCTGCTTGTGAAAAATGTGCTTGGTCGCCTCTTTGCAGCACATTCCAATGGCCTTAAAGCCTTTGAATTCTTCAAATTCTCCCTTCAACACTCCCACTTCTGCCCAAGTTTAGATGCTTTTGAGAAGACACTCCATATCCTTGCACGAATGCGCTACTTTGATAAAGCTTGGGAATTGATGGAAGAAATCCAATGAACACACCCTTCCTTGCTAACCCTAAAATCCATGAGCATCATGTTATCGAGAATCGCTAAGTTCCAAACCTTCGAAGATACCCTTGAAGCATTCGAGAGGATGGAGAAAAATATATTTGTAGGGAGGAAATTTGGCACCGATGAGTTCAATGTACTACTTACAGCGTTTTGTACGCAAAGGCAGATGAAGGAGGCAAGGTCTGTGTTCAACAGGATGCATCCTCGATTTTCTCCCAACACCAAGACCATGAATATTTTGCTGTTGGGTTTCAAGGAATCAGGTGATGTTACTGCGGTAGAACTGTTCTACCATGAGATGGTTTGAAGAGGTTTTAAGCCCAATAATGTGACTTACAATATTAGAATTGATGCTTACTGCAAGAAAGGATGTTTCAGTGATGGTTTGAGACTTCTTACAGAAATGGAAGGCGTAAATTGCTTGCCTACAATAGAAACAATAACAACATTGATTCATGGCGCAGGGGTTGCCCGAGACATAGCTAAAGCAAGAGAGTTGTTCGAAGAGTTTCCCATGAGAAACTTAAGGCCTGATACTGGTGCTTATAATGCTTTATTGAGTTCTCTTGTAAGATGCAGGGACATGGAGTCTGCAACCGGCTTAATGGATGAGATGGAAGAGAAAGGCATTGAGCATGACAATATCACATACCATACTATGTTCTTTGGCTTAATGAAGTCAAAAAATTTGGACTCTGTTTCGGAACTCTTTGACAAGATGACGAAGGAAAACTTTGTTCCCAAGACGCGAACAGTGGTGATGTTGATGAAATTCTTTTGTGCAAATTATCAGCCTGATTTGGGATTGAATTTGTGGGGCTACCTATTAGAGAGAGGTCGCTGCCAGCATGGCCATGCATTGGATCTATTGGCAACATCATTGTGCTCGCATGGGAAGGTGCAAGAAGCTTTTGAGTGCTCCAAACAAATGTTGGAGAGAGGAAGGCATGTGAGCGAGGCGGTGTTTCGGATGTTGGAGAGGTTTCTGCTGCAGGCTGGAGACACGGAAAAGTTAAGGACGCTTGACGTGATGATCAAGCGACTACAAAATATTTTGCCGCCATCAAGAGGTCATGCTACTGGTATTCTTTACCCCACCAAAATGGACTAATTGAGTTTAGCTTGAATTTTTATTAAAACTAGCTTTATTGCTATGTTGTAATCCTTGTATTTTACATTTTATGATCAGCATTTGCATGTTATGATCAGTTTTTTGATCACTTACATCTATTGTTTAGTTGAGATGTTTGATTTAACATAATAGTTCTTCTATCTTCTATCTGAAATACATTGGCTTATATGTAGTCATTAGTCCCACCCAAAAAAATAAAATAAAATAAATAAATCCAAATTCTGAAATTTTGATGGTAAAATGATTTTTTGGTATCTGATTCACAGTGAATCTCAGCTAGTGAGAAATAAAAGCCACTGACGAAACAAATGAATACAAAGCCTGAATAGACAATCAAAGAAACACAAACTGATATGCTTTTGATGAAAACAAAGGGAGATTTTTATGATATAAGGAAATCAACAGTCAGTTATTTTACAGAACATTATATACTACAATTGTGTGTAGGTAAAATAAAATAAAAAAAGCTCATCAACCAAGTTTCATGCTTCCTATGCAAATCCAAAGCACATATTAAACAAAATTTCACAGTAAATACTTTCAAGCACAGTGCGTCCAGAGAAGTATAAATTCACCATCCTCTGAACACAAGACTCTGTCTATAGACAGCTTCTACTTGATGTCTATCCTTTAAGATCCCCAGTTAGGAATGTTTGCTGTGGCTTCATTCACCATTTTCACCAAAGTAACCTGCAATATCAAAATTTGCCAATAGTTCAATCAAATATCAATGAAGGATGGTAGCTGCTTAAACACACATAAACCACATTGCAAGTTTAAAAGAAATAATTTGGGATGCATTGATAAAATAAAAAGAATGTGGATTTATATTTTGTTTTCTCCTCCTCTAGACTTTTTAATTTTAGGAATCCTAAAAGTCTGGAAACTTTCAATTTGTTTATGAATAGATCTTTCTAAAATAGATATTATGATTTTTTGTTCACACTTCTTTTCCAATATGTGGAATGAATTGATTTCCTACTATTTTGATATAATAAATTGTAAATGTATTTGTAATGTAAAAAAATTTAGAAACAATTATCATTTTCATGTATAAATAAAAAAATATATATTTATTTGTTTTTTTTTTTTTTGGAAAAGGCTTTTTCATTTATTTCTTTTTTTTTTTAAATGACGTGGAAACTGCTAATTTCGGTTTCATTTTATTGACTTTTTTTTTTGTACTATATTAAATAAGAAAAAAGATAATGTACTTGGAATTAAAGGTTAGCGATTCTATTAGTTAACAGATAATGAAGCAAAATGCTAGTAGAATTCGAATGTGATGGAAACATACCACACTTTCAGGGACACCAGGTGGGGGCAGTGGAAGGTTTTTTGGAGGCCAGGCATTAGTATAGGATCTTTTGTCAAATCTCCATTCTCCAATCTTTCCATAGGTTAACTTACCCTGATTATCAAAATTTGAAAATCGCATGGTCAGAAACTTTTTATTTTCATCAAAATACAATTTTCAGAGTTTGACCTTCATCACTTTGAGGACTTGGACATAATTAGAATACCTTCATATCATAATCGCATCCATAAGTAAAATGAATGATGAACTTGTTGCCAATCTCTGTATCCCAGGGAGGCTGGAATGCATCACAAGCAGGCAATTGTGAGTAAAATAGTAGAAGCGTTTAGATCAACCAAAAGCTATCAAGCTGGTCAATATGATGATGAAAAGCCTCAATGTAATTAACATCATGCAACCACAAGCAAGAAATCTTCAGAATTTTCATTTTATGAAAATAAATTAAAATAAATATAAACAATATAGCCATCTAGAAATATTAAAAAAAAAAAAAACCAAAAGTTTCGGTCAAAATATTTTCCTTCTTAGTATACTGGTGCTTTGGTGAATGTGTACTATTAATATATCATCAGATTGCCACGATGAGATAACTACCAACCAGCTCTATTCTCAAACCAGTATTGGCTTTTTTTCCCAAGGAAGGTATAATTACTTGGCTTTATGCAATTCTACCTTGCTTTGACGAAATCAAAAGTCACTTAGGCAATAGGCTTTTAATCTAACTTGTAACCCATTCAAACTATGTGTTAAAGATTTGGAAAGCAGTAAACTTACTACTGAATTTAGCAAAACTCACAACCCAAAAATATAACTATGTAAATGCATATTATCTAACCTGAATCATGAAGTCCTTGTACAAGATGTTACCCACATTATGCAGAGCAGATGCAACTGCATAAGCATACCTGCATATTGATGCTAAAACCTGAGGATGGATAAAAACTAACAATTGGAGCAGCCGAGTATTAGGCTTACGAGGGAAAACTCACATCTCGAGGACCCAACCAAACTCTTTATCTGCTACAGGGTCCCTTTTCATTGCCAACGAAACATTCATCCAAGTTGGAGCTATCTTTTTAAGAGATTCCTAACACAATTCAATAAGAAATAAGAAACAAAGACAAATATTAGTTAAAAGTTCTTTAGGAAGCCTCATAGAAGATGTATGTACCTTTCCAACAATGACAGGAGAATTTCCTATTGGATCAATGTTAGTTATTGGTCCCTTTTCCTTTGGAAAGAACTTTCGGAGAACAGATTCATACTTTTGAGGTTCAATGTAAAAGAAAGGGAATGCAGCTCCACGGCCATCCCTTGATAAGTTTGGTATGGGCTTAACAATAATATGATCTGGCTCTGCCATCAATATGTAGCTGCATAAAATTACGAATCGATTTTACTAGATCTACTTATTGAAATGCAAAAAAATTGATCAAGAAATATTGTTGCGTCAAAGCGACATAGTTAAGTTTTCCCGTACTCTTCTTTGATGTTCGCTTGCTGAAGCCATTGTACAAATGCCCAAGGTCTGTTGAGAACTATATAACCCTGTAATTAATTGTAAAGTGAAATGATAAATTATTTAATATAGTAATTAACAGAACGAAATATACAGTAATAATTTACAATAATATTAATAAATAAAAAAAAGGAAACAATGCACCATTCAGTATGTACCCTATCTATGTCTGTTTACAATACAAATTCTAGGCTCATATGCTCCACACAGATAGAAATATAGAAGAAACCCCTTTTGCGTTCTTTAGTTACTAATTGGGAAAGTGAATGGAGCATGAATTTAAAAATCAACTCTGTAATTCACAGTCAATGCTAATTCTCATTTTCTTTGGACCCGAAACAAGATTGAATTAGAGAGGCATGAAATTGTAAGGACTAGAACAATCTTCATATTGCAAATGTACAACAAATGCTTCTTAAACTATAGTAAACGGGAAATTTTCCAAGACATTCTTTTGATCAATAACAAAAAATGACGCACTTTTTTTTTTTCTCTCAATCCAGTATGTTTAGTTTTTTTAATACAACTGTTTCTTCTTGTCCTTGCTTGAACTATTTTTTAATCAATTCAAGCTGCAAGCAAGACTAAAACGCATACCTCTCTAGTGAAATAGGAAACACAAAACTAACTACAAGTACAAACACAACCCTCCTAAATTCCACCAAAATGAAAACTTTATAGCATATTTTCCAGTTATATTCATCAATTTTCACCAGCATCAAACCAAAATGGAAAAACAAAGTAAACCCAAAATCCCAAACTGCAAATCAGTTGAATTTGTGAAGTTAGTTTCTCAAATAAGAATGTGCAAGCCCAAAATTTACTGAAAAGAGAGAATATAAAGCACAAACTGAGATGAATTAGAATGTCTTAAATTGGAAGAAACTCTATGAATAAAACCTGATCGATTCCAGCAGGGAGAGGTTGAGCAACAAATGTTGGGATCTCATCCATGAAGCTGTCAGGTTTCCCAGAATGCAAGATCCTGGTGAAGCCACCCATCTCAGAATTGGGACCATCCTTGAATTGCTTGAACCAGTAGTACATAATCCTAGCCTGCCATGTATTGTACACTGAATCAGAGGCTGTAACCGCCGTGTGGAACAGCCTCTTCTTGGGTGCTGTTGTTTTGGATCTGTCAATTGGCATCTTGATGATGGGTTTGAACCCACTTGATGAGGATGATGATGGGAAGTCCTGTTTGAGAGGAGCATTGGCTGAGATGATTGCGTTGTAGGTGATTAGAGCTACTGAGAAGGTTATGATAAGGGTGAAGAACGAGTTCCCACAACCCATTTTCTCTCTCTCTCTCTCTCTCTCTCTCTCTCTCTCTCTCTCTCTCTAGTTTTCTGTTTCTCTCTCTAGGATCGGGGAGAAAGCAGAAGTGGCTGCTTCAAACAAGTCTGTCTCTTTTGTCTGCTATCTATTCTACTACTAATATATAACGTGATGGCTGATGGGTTGACATATATCTGTCTCATATTTTGAGTTTTTTAAAATATTTTTATTATTAATATTTTATATGAAAAATGAGGTAAAATTTGAAACTAAGATCATAAAATAAGGGCGTAATAATCAATAAAACTTATCTGATGAACAAGTATTTTAATTAGCCTCTTTTTTTTTTTTCTTTTTTTTTTTTTTTTTTTAGCAATGCTAGGTATCCTGAAAAATTTTTCATGAAAATGGTCATGAAAGATTTGTGACCTTTGGATTACACTTACAATAAAGCACCGCATACTAATCAAGGTAATCTAAGGGTCACAAATTTTGTTATGAAATTCATGATTCCTTTCATGACAAAATTTTCATGATCTCTAACATTTCTCTTTTTTTTTTTTTTATTGATCTATTAAATCTTATTAATGGAGAGTTTTTTTTACGTGTGGTGCTATTTTTCATTTTAGTAGTATTTTGGTAGATTACCAAAATAATAGGACACTCCAACGATTTAAAGGTGGTTTGAGATGATTTAAATAAGTATACTTTTTGATTTTTTATGAAATATGAGTTGGGTTTGAAGTGATGTAATAGAGAGGTGATATGACTTAAATAAGATGATGTGATTTAAATATGATAGTGATTTTTTGACTTTTTTAGGACACCCCAAACAAGGCCTTGTTAATGTGAAAGGTATGATACGATACTCCAATGTGTCAGGTATTAATATAACACTCCAACGATGTAACATTCTAAAAAAATAAAAAATTTCTTATTGTATTTTTTCTAAATATAACAACGTGGCGAGTATAATTTGACACTCCAAAACTTTTACTCCAAAGAAAATAATAACTCTTTCGTATACTTTTTTACAATGTAACAGGTATAATGTAACACTTTAAAAAAAATAAAAATTCCTTAATAAACTTTTTTCAAACATGATAATATGACAGGTATGATGTGACACTTTAAAAAAAATTAAAAATTATTTAGTGTATTTTTTTTCAAACGTGACATGCGACACTCTAACGTGGCGGGTATGATGTGACACTCCAAAAAAATTAAAAATTCTTTAATGTACTTTTTCCAAATACGACACTTTAACGTCGTGACATGACAATATGGCAGGTATGATATGACACTCTAAATAAAATTAAAAACTCCTTAATGTACTTTTTTGAAACGTGACATGTGACACTTTAATGTGGGGGGTATGATGTGACGCCCTAAAAAAATTAAAAATTCTTTAATGTATTTTTCCCAAATGCAACACTCTAATGTCGTGGCATAACAATATGACATGTATAATGTAGCACTCTAAAAAAAATTAAAAATTCCTTAGTGTACTTTTCTCAAACGTGACATGTGACACTTCAATGCGGCGGGTAAATGAGTCATTACACATCCAAAATGACTAAATTGATCAGAAGAAAAAAAAAATGGAAGTATTTGGATTATAAGTCCAAAATATGGGACTTACTGATAAATTTCCCTAAAATAAATTATTACTATTTAAGCAACACATAGTACATATATTTCATTCGTCTTAAAATATTAATATCTTATTTAATTTTTTATTTTTTCAAAATATTAGTCCATTTTCAAAAATTAATGACTAAAATAATATGAATTTTTTATTTTGTCATTTTTTTAAATTCATTAACACAAAAAAGTATAATTATGACAATTGATATTCTAAAAAAAAATTGTACTATTAAAAAGTAATTTTAAAAATTAATAGTTTTAAAGTGCAACAAGTATACTATATGTACGGGAAAGAAATATACTTCCTCGTATAATCCTGTTGACCAAGTCTGTACTCCTCCGTACGACGTCGCCTTATCACCTGAAAACACAAACGTGAGCTAGCCGGCGGGTGTGTGCCGGAAACCTCTCCGATGCCTAAGTCAGCAAACTTGACAAATAGACAAAGCTCTGTGAATTCAGAAAGCAAAGTTGTGTGTTACCTCCTCCAATATGATATTTGTGAGCTTTTATAAGTTTCGTGTGGCACAATCCTAGTACGACTTTTACTTCTTCATGCAGAGTCCTCATAGGATTCATACTCCTGAAAGATAATGCTTATCCTTCAACACCCCCTCACTGCTTAAACCAAGTGAGATGGTTTTTACCATGGCCGAACTACCACATGACCGAAATAATTCTGGCTATGCTGAGCCACAGAGTAGGCCGAACTATCCTTCGTTCGGTTCTTTCTTTTCTACTCCCTATCTCGGTTCATTCATGTACAAACCATGGTATGTTTAGACCGAGCTATCGAGTAGCAAGGTTTTGACTGTTCTAACAACAATACGTCATGACCGGACTAACTCAGAGACCGGTCTAACTCCAAGTTGCTTCCGGACCGGAGTAACTTTACAATTCTTGGGCCGGAGTAACTTTATCTCTCTTGGGCCGGAGTAACTTTATCTCTCTTGGGCGGGAGTAACTTTATCTCTCTTGGGCCGGAGTAACTTTATCTCTCTTGGGCCGGAGTAACTTTTCGCCCTTTTTACCCAGTCCTTTGTACTTTGGACTATAAAGTCCATCTCATAGCTTGGCCCCATTTTCACCAAAATTACCCTCTCAATTGCCTTTTAATTCCATCTGCACAGCATGATTGGGATTACCTATCTACCAGCCGAGCTGAAGTTTTTAAGCCTTTCCAGCCGAGCTAAAAAAACCCTTTAGCCTCTCCAGCCGAGCTAAAAACTCTTTAGCCTTCCGGCCGAGCTTATTTCACTCCGGGCTTCTGCTTGTCCGGTCAAAACGTCTCTTCAATCACAGTGACTGTAATGCTTCCCTTTCCAATGACACGTGGCAGGCTCTGATAGGCTGGGGGCAGCTGTCACGCCGCCCTCGTACTACAAAAAATTTGAACAGTTCCCGCTTTTTCTCTTTCGTCCATTCTTTTACACAAAACACCTTCTATTTTTTGGATTAACCACTTTACTATTACATCTCTTCTCTCTCCACCCTGTGTTCTTGTTGTTCTTCCGTTGCACTTGAAGAGACTGTGACTTTGCTGCCATTTTTCCATCTTCAGTGCTTCTACGTCTTCGTTTGGTAAGCAACTGGAATCTACCCATCTTTGCTTTTATTTACTTCCATGTAGTTTGTTTTGTGTGTTTTTGCAAAACATATTCCTTTCATTTGCTTTGCCCTGTACTTTACTAGAAAGAACTTTAACAGTAGAACGTATGAGTATATGATATATCTTGTAGAAAACTAGCTTTTGATCCAAAATCATGATGCAACCGAACTAGGACACTGTTTATGCTATATATGTAGATCAATTCAGACAATAACCGAACTAAAACTCGTAGAAATAACAGTAGTTTCAACAAGTTACCAACTTCTGATTCACTTTAGCCGAGATAAATTCCCCGAATGAAGTTTGAACTTAGTAAACTAGGAACCTCGGCCTTCAACCGAGCTAAGCCTTTGGGGCTAAGCCAGCTTCCTTAGTTTCTAAACCAAACTCAGAAAGCTGCCCCTAGAGACTCAACCGAAGTAACAAAGCCCATAGTTCAAACCGAGATAACCAACGTCATACAAAAACCGATCTTGCGAACCCTATGCTCAATCCGAGCTACCAAGCATTTTGCTGAACCAAGATAGAACCTGTCCACAAAGCCGAAGTAGGGCTCTTTTTCCTTGCTTTTAATTTGTAACACGGTCCAATGATCTGTGCTTAACCCCTTTGTTTTCTACTTTGCAGACTTAGGTTGCCCAGGCACTCCTCCGCGCGCTCAACCGAGCTACTGAGCACCAATTTTGCACCGAACTAATTTATTTGTAATTTATACAATAAATGGGGAAGTATAGGTATCTAGTTGACACTCTGGGCGGCCTAGCCGAATTCAGAAAAGACTACAATATACCTGATGACGTCCAACTGATTTTAGCCGAAAAGAATGTCATTCCTTGGGACAATGAAGGCTTTATTCCTTTCACCCTTTTGTCCATAATCGAGACCGGACTACGATTTCCAGTCCAACATTTAATTTGCGAGTTTCTTAGACAAACCAGACTATGCCTAACCCAACTATCCACCAATTCCCACCGCATCATAACGGGAATAGCCGAACTGAACCGCCAAGCCGGACTTAACCTTGGCCTCGCCAAAATCTTCCACCAATACTCTATTGGTTCAAAAGAAAATGGGTGAGTTTATTATTTAAGAATACGCCGTCGCCGAGAGAAGATAATAAAACATACATCGGATAAAGACTTAAACGACGACGACTTTTTCTGGGTGTCTGGGAATTTTGAGGATCATCAAGCCCAAATTCTTGGCCGACGTATAAACTGGAAAAAAAGAGAACCCGGTATACTTACTTCGGTTTTCTTGCTTGCTTTATTATATTTCGGTTTTTCAATCTTACAGCCGAACTAACAGTTGTCTTCTTTCGCAGATTCTACCCATCTCCATTCATTATACAGCTACCCAAACCTAGCTACTTTACGCGCCGCACTACGGTATCCAGAACGTAGTTGGGCCAAATTGCTAGAGTTCGAGCCGACCTACAGATACAGTGGTCGCCGAAAAGCCAGAGTGACTGATTTTCTTCTTGAAGACGCACCAGAGCCGGACCCAACCTTACCACAAATCAGACTAATTCCACTAACTGCCGAAGAAGAAATGGCTAAAAGAAACAGGGTCAGGGCCCTCTTGACCGAGACCAACAGGGTCGAAGTACCACCATCAAGTCAAACCCAAGAAGCGGTGGTGGCCCTTCCTACGCAACAACCGTCCTCATCCCACCGAACCAAGCGCGCCCAGACTACCGAAACTGAACAACGCTTGGTTGATGAAGACGAAACTGCTCTTCCAACGAGCCGGCCACCGAGCCCCCAACCGGAGCCTTCTGACCAAACTACCACTAGCTGGGTACCAAAACTTACCTTCAACAATCGAGACATCCAAGACTCTGACTCGGTTGTTGCTGAGAAGGATCACCAGTTGGCCTTCAACCTGGCCAAGAGTGTGTGCCTCCCTAAAGATATGGAGCACCACCAAAAGCAATTGAACACCGAACTGAAGGCCATCCGGTCTTCAACAAAATCCATGATCTTGGTAAGTAGCTCTGTCCATTTTTTTGTCTAATTTTTCCAACTTTCACTTCAGCTCAAGGGAAGTCTTTGTTTTGTCAGGCCATTCAGAAAAACAACATCACTTACAGGAAGGTGGTAGAGCTCAGGAAAACAACAAGGCAAGCCGTGGCAGAAGCCGAAGCGAAGGCGACCGAGCTAGAGGAGGCCAGAAAGCAAATGGCCGAGCTACGAGCTGAGAACGGCCGACTGGCCGGATTGGTTAGTTCGGTCGAGACAGAAAAGCAGAAGGCTGCCATTGTGCTAAAGGATAAGTATCTGCGCGAGCTGGTGAAGCTCGAAAGGAAGAAAGATACCGAGATAACCCAGCTGAAGGAGAGCGCAAAAAGAGTCGAAAAACAAGGCTTCAAGAAGGCAGAGGATGCTTACATCCAGTAGTGCGAAGCCGCCAAAGAACTATTCTTTAAGTGCGGCTGGAGGGCAGCTGTTGAGAAGCTTGGTCACGATCCACAGACCGAGGTCTTCAACCCTCCAGCCTACTTCATACCGAACTCCCTAGTGGAGTATGCTAATGCCATACAGCAGCAATTTCTTGAAGGCTCAGACTCTGACGAAGACTCTGCCTCTGAGGATAGCTCCGGTTGTCAATGCGGACCGCGTTCAGTTCGACTGGCCCACGATGGAAGACCTGACTATTGAACAACCAGGTGAAACCGTGGTTCCGACCGAACCACCCTTTGTGACCGAGAACGAGTCCCGCCTGAAACCGGTCTTCATGTTGATGCCGATGCTGCGTTTGATGCCGAAATTGATGATCTTTTCTCTTGATTTTGTACATTTTCTTTTTTGCTATCCTTTTTTACTTTTGTAACCGGGCTACGGCCCCTCCTTTGTAGCTTGCTTCCTGATGATGAAAATGTTCATGAACTCTTAACTTCCGGTTGATTTGTACGTTTTGTACTTGTTATGATTTTTTCCATTGATCTTTCTTATTTCAACTGTTATCTCGGTTTAGCTGGTTAAACGTAGCTTATGCTTACGCTGCCAACCACCTCCTTAGCCGACATATATTACCTTTGGCTGAGGTAGTACTCAAGTTGTTTTATTCCAGCCAACCATTCTTCAGGCCATACCCTTACTTTCGTTGAAGAGTACAAAGAGGTGGTTAATCCAGCACCCTGCTTCAACTATACCCTTACTTTGGCTAAGAGCACTAAGCAGTTGGTTTAATCCATCAACCACTCTCATTAAAAAGTAATTTAAAATTTAATAGTTTATAAAGTGCAATACAGTAATACTAATAAAAAAAAGTTAAATTTTCCAAAATAAGACTATTTTTAGGACGGAAAGGAATACATTATACTTATCATTATTTTTATATTATTAGCTTCTTTTAAATTGGTATGCATTTAGCAAGTTGTTTGCATAATAATTAATAAAGTGCACTTATTTAAATAAACATATTAATTTCAAATTAAATTACTCTTTATTTTTTATATATATTTTTTATAAAATTAAAAATATAGTTTTTAATACTCATTTCCAACTACTCTTTAATATATATATACTATAATACTAGATATAGTGTAGTGTGAGCTGGCAGGGAGCAGTGGTGCATAAAATTGTTAGCGTGTTCAGCAAATTGAGCAAGTGCTACTAGAACCATTAATTTTGCCATCACTTAACCCACGCACTAGTGAGGTGGCAATTGAAAAAAAAATAAAAAACAATCAGCACATATTACAACTATGGCAGTGGGTGGATCTACGTGTCACTCATTAGAGGCCACCACTAATTAGTGGTCTAAGGCATTTTCCACCAAAAATTTTAAGCCATGGCTACGGTTGTTTCTCATACGCCAGCCGTTAAGTCGTTTTTATTTTTATTTTTGGGAGGTTACTTTTTGAGGGTTTTTTTTTTTTCTTCCCGTTAATGAGTTTTTTAGTTATCTAATTTTTATAGAATAGAAAGATCCTAAAATTAGATTTTTTAAAATATTTTTTTAAAGGAATTTCTTGCTTAGAAACACTTTAGAAATTAAGAAGGGTAAATTAAACTACCTTCAAAATTTTATAAATATTCAACAAACTTTATAATTTTGATATAATTATATATATATATATATATATATATTTCTTTTTCAATAATGGTGAAATTATAAGAGTTTTGTGAAGGAGAAAGTAATGATCTTGGGGTGACAGTAGAGTGGCTAGAATTACGGGAAGAAGTGATAGAGTTACTTGGGAGAATGGAGCTATGGTGGCGGGAGAGGGTAGCCGACGATGGAAGATTAGAAGTGAAACCAAATAAGAAAAAAAAATAGAAAATGGTCCTTTTTGTCAAATGAAAGCCAAATTTTATGATTATTAATAGTCCTTATCTTTCTTCTTTGGACTATGTTTCCCTCATTTTTTTATTTCGTTATAATTTTATTTTAACATAAAATTTAGGTTCACTTGACATTAGCTAATATAACTAATTTTTTGTGTTAAAACTTTTTTAGCCTCGTTTAATTTTTGTTTTAGAGTTTTTTAATTTTTGTGAGAGAAAAAATATAGTAATTATAGATAAAAAATAATATTTTGTTTTATTAACTTTTATAGTTAATATTATCTTTTTATGATTATTTAGTCCCAAAATAAATGCCAAATGAGGGCTCAAATTTGACTCAATCATTATCTCCCTAATCCTAACCCTGACCCCGACCCCACTAACCCTTCCTCTTCATACTTGCCCTTTCTTCGCCAGCCTATCCTCAATACCCCCATCTGTTCCACAACCACCTTCAATTGCCACGTTCATTCATTTTCCAACTCAGTTATACTCGCCTATCTATTTTTCAATTTTGGCAACACTTTCCAATTGAACTTTATCTTTAACTTTATCTTTATTTCTCTATTAGTTGATGAGCTTGCCGGAGTACGAAAGAATCGTTGTGTAGGGATCACAATATGGTGAAGGGTTGCATGAGGATGTAAGGTAACAAGGGGTGAAAGATGGGGCAAATAGTAGCACTCCTTTGGAATTTTATTTTCTCATCGCATATAATTTAAATGAACTAATAATGTCAATAATTTTAAAAAATAAATAATTGTTGAAATTAATTTCTCAAGGAATGAAATGTAACGATTTGAAGAGGTAAACCCCCCCGAGGTGGGGCAAAATAGGTGTCACCAAACGTTACACAGTGATTAATACTTGTTGCAATTTTCTAGTTCTACTTTTGAAAAATTTATTGCTCATACTTAAAGTTTTCAATTTTAACGTCTACATACCACATGTTAGTTATTGCAATTTTCTAATTTTACTTCACTTTTTTTTTTTTTTTGAAGCATTTACTACTCCCAGTCGAAGTTGTTATTGCAATTTTCTGGTTTTACTTTTTTGAAGCATTTACTACTAGTTGAAATCATCAAATTTTGGGTGGGCATATCAATTAATGCTTAATTAATGAATTGCAAATTCAAATATCAATTATCAACAGGTTTGGCGAAAAGATTAAGGCCCTGTCTGGTGAAAAAAAAAATTTAAGTTAAAAGTTGATAATCAAAAAACAAAAGTTAAAATACCCTTACCTTAACTTTCAAATAATTAACTTTTTTTTACCTTATTTAAACTATTTTTACCTAATAAACTATAAGCAGAAACTGCATTAAACAGTTTGACACAAATTCCCAAATCAAAATAAATTATAATCACCTCCAAAAACTATAACAAACGGTCCCTAAGTCAATGAATTTGACATTAGATGTTTAAGGCTTAAATTCTGATATACAGATTGCAAATCACAGATGGAATAATTAAAATATACCAAACCTTGGAAGTTAAAAATGTAAACTGAACAGTAATAATAATTGATATACTAATTAATATATCAACATAATTATGACAAAAATTATTTTAAAACTATGACCCCACTCATCATATAAATTATAAAAATTCAAAGTCTCTAAAATTGTACCACATCATCCGTTGATACACTAATTGGTATACCAATTAATGCATATAGCATTATTCTAAACCCAAAACTCTTATGTTTTAGCTCTGAATCCATTACTCATGATTAGAGTCTCAAATGTCACATTATCTTTGATTAAATATTAATAATTACCATCAAATATGTCATAATCACCCCTCAAATTGAAGAGTGTGGGGGGGTAGAAATATCAAGAAATTTGGAAAGGATGCTTTTGAACTATTACATAACTACTACATAACTTCCAAAATGTTGGCTTTTGTTTTGCTTGCAGGGAACCAAACCAAACTGCAGATCCTTCGGCTAAATGTGCAGCCACTTCACACAGCACGCACAATGAACATGTTTTCCAGGAGGCACTTCTTTTTCGCTTAATGTTTTGGATATGGATGTTAATGGTCCTCCTCTTTCACGACAAACTGCCAATAAGCTCTCTATTCTGTTCAAAAAGAAAAGGGAGGGAAAAAAACATAAACAAAGTACTAATTTGTTTGACAATCAAATAATAGTATTCAGACCAAAAGAAGTGCATTTTGGGGTCTATCTATTCACAATGGACATTGAAAGTAAGGATGAATAGAAACATTCGCCGGTGAAATTTCTTGGTAAGGAGATGCTTTTAAGGGGTGTAGCTTTTTACAGAAGGAATGGACTAGATAATTTACCTCGAGTAGTTGATCATGGATCAACATGGAATTGCCAGGGGACTGGCCATATTTTGTTACCGCTCAACAGCCTCTCTAATATGGGGAAACCGATCAGCCCAACGAGAATATCCTGCACCAATGTGGAAAATAAAGTATTTCTTGTACCGCTTCTGAGAACCTTAAAACTAACGATTGCTTTCATAAAAAAGGTAGACATTTAAATTAATTAACCTACCAGAGGCAACAATCTGATGAAGATCTGCTTCTGCTTTAGCATCGTCAGACATCATTTCCTGAAATGAATTCAAAAAGGAAGCAATTGTTGGTTCGAGGATATCAAAATAAGTAATATTATCAATTCTGGTGCAATTTGGTGATTTCCACTCAGCTCAACCCCCAACCTCACACAAGCAGTGGCTGAGCTTGCACTAACGTTCTGGTCAGTTTGGATTAAAAAATTCCAGCCAGAACTAAGATAAGAATAGGCATATGAGCTAATGAAAATTTGCTAAAAACTTAAGAGGACTGTCAAACAAAATTACTTTCATAAACTACAACATAATTAAAAAATACAATTATCACAAGAGTAGCAACACTCCCCAACATTAACTGGTTTCCGTTGTTCAACAACACAAGACAATAACATACGTTTTCATCATGTCATATGGTCAGTGTAAAAGATTAGTTTTGCTTTTGCTAATCATAAAAAATGTTCAAGTCTCTCAATAATGCAAGTGACAAAAATCATGTGCATTTAATGAATAAAATTTGTCTAGGCACGCAAATTACAAAATTGCCAACTTTTCTAACCCATGGGTTCAGACACAGATTGGTCCTTAAATCTGACCCATCAAAACCAAACTTCTTCCCGCAAACTGGACCTATCCAAATACCAATGTAGTTCATACCATAATGAAGATTCACGAAACGCCCAACCCCATGCCAAGTAACGGCTAGAAAACTGCAATTTGGGGGGGCCAATGTTGGGTCTTAATCTGAACTTTCCAATTTAAACCCAGAAACTAGTGATGTGATCAAACATAAAGCAGTTTACCTGCCCACATATAGCCAAACTTCTCACGATGAGCTGAGACAGACTAATCAGGTCACTACGGTCAAAGCTTTGATGTTGAAGAAGAGCCTCCTCAGAAGTTGAGTCAAATATTAGTGTACAAATGCTTGAAGCCATCATTATAACAGACAGGTCATCAGTATCTCCTGAAAGCACGCATATTCAGAAACTTCTGTCATCAAGTTGTACACATTCAGCTCATTACTGCCTCATCATGGCATATGTTTAATTTTAACCTAAAAATACCTACTACCTACCAGCATATAAGTACAATTCATTAAACAGATATGCAGTGAATTTTTATATTATAAGCTGAACTATTAATTTTCACACTGCTGTCCTACTTTTGTTTTACAGTAACAATGTGAATTCAAAGTTGGAATATGAGAAGTGATGCAAACATGCAGTATGGAGCACAAAAACACCTACAAATGGTAGAAAATATGGTGTTGTTCTGTTTTCATTAAACAATGAGAAAATGTGCATTTCAAATGCAGTGACTGAATGAATACCTGTCCAATATGCCAATGCTCGCAAAAGACGAACAAAATAAGCATCGTCTAATTGAACTCGGATTTGATCTCTCTATTAATAAAAGAAATAAAACACATCAGGAACATCTTTTATACATCATTACGTCATTTATTAAGATGATACAGTGATATCACTCACTACCTTCAAAAGAAGATTCATAATTGTATCACACGCCAAGAATATAGAACCATTATCGTCATTTGTGTGACCATCTGGGCCAATCAATTTAATCAAGCATTCCACAACCTGCAGGTGAAAAATACGATTTTCACATAATAAAATAATGTGAGCAAGAAAATATTTAACGAACTGTCCTGACTTTGCATCAGCATTCATGAAGGATTCAATAAAACTCGAGGGTTCCTTGGCTTCCTTGGCTTTGATTTTAATCTGAGACCACTATGAATTATATAAAGAAAAGACTCAGAGATGAATGACAAATCAGAAAGATCTGCGCGAGGCGTTACAAATTTACGAGGATAAATAACAGATATCATAAAGTAATCAGAATGCAGTACAAAGTAAAATTTAAGAAATATGTACATAAAGCATGTGATCAAGTTACAGACTTACAGCTTTATTAGCTCCTGAAGAAGCTAAAACCTTGCATCCATAAACCTCCATTGTTATTTGACAAAGCATAGGAAGCAAAAAGCATATGGAGTAAAAGGGGCTGCCATTGAAGCATATGAAAAAATGTTAGTCTCTGAGCAAGCTTAAAAAGGAGCAAAGAACTAGTTCTCAATTCATTGAAGGAAAATATTGTTAAAACGTTAAAGATGTTGAAACCTTGGCTCGTCTTCGCCTTCAATTGAGAGCATATACCCTAGAAGTTCCCTGACCTTTTCTTTACAAGCAACAGGTGTTTCTGCAAGGTAACTGAGAAAAAAAAGAGGTATCAGCTTGCCAAAAACTTTACTTCTATGTAAAACAGTATTTATGATTCAAAAATTAAGCCAAGTTCCTAACACAGTATAAGATTCTGACATAGTTACAAGCCTTTGACGGAATTTTTTTACTACCTAAGATGAATAAACTTTTCTCTCACTTAGGACTTGAACCCTACACCTCCACTTTTGGGGGTATCAAGAATTACTAGTACTACTCACATAAACAAGCTGGTGGTATCCCGTCAACAAATTTTTTATCCCGTCAGCTTCCCACCAAACAAATGAAGCTTGGGTAACCAGCTTGGGGAATGATAGAATATCACCCCCTATTTATAAATGAAGATTAGAGTTTACAAGAAAGGCAATTACAAGATGATCCCTGAGTGCTATCCCTGAGTGCATAAAATGATTACAGACAGACCCTAGTGTACCTTTCGGCTAATATAATATGCTAACACTTAATATAATATGCTAACACTCCCCCTCAAGCTGGTGCGAATTCATGCAATACAAAACTACCACATGTCTATCTATAGACGAAGTATAGAAAAAAAAAAAGGAAATCCCTACCTCAAATATAGAACCCAAGGAGAAGAAGAGCTAGACTCGGAAGTGCTCCAAATACCAAATTTCTAGGATCAAAATGTAGCCCTCAATGATCAACACACTATTTGTAAAGGCCAAAGGGTAGGAGAATACTCTAACTAGATCAATCCATAGAGAGAAGGTGGGTTTCTAGTGAGAGAGGCCCTCCAATGGAGTTTTAGAAAAGTAAGAGAGAGAGAGAATGTAAAAAATGATCTAAAATAGCCTAGCTGCCAACTGATATGCGACTCTCCCGCTCGAGCGGATAAAAGGACGCTCGAGCGTCAAGTACAAAAAACTGGACTCGCTCGAGCTCCAAGACACAAGAACAAAACACACCCGCTCGAGCGCGAAAACCAATCCGCTCGAGCGTAGATTCTCCTCCCTCAGTATCTTCACCGACAATGCTCACCCCGCTCGAGCGCCAACAGACCCGCTCGGGCGCGACCCGCTCGAGCGTAAGGAAACTCGCTCGAGCGTGAAAAACACACCTGCAGAAGTTTTGCAGAGGCACGAAATACTGGAACTTTGAAAACCCCGCTCGAGCGTACCACCAAAAATCTGGGTGACAAGGAATGGGACTAAGGCTCAACCAACCAGTTCGAAACACGCCCAACACAACCCAAAACTCTAAAACAAAGAGTAAGGGATAGAAATGAGGATAAGACAACAACAGATCTACGGAACCAAGTCCGGATTACAGTTCAACAACAAAGAAAACTGGGATCGCCATACAAATAACCCCTAATGTCTTTTTTCACCTCTCCATTTATATATATTAATCATAACTAAAAGATTAAAATTTTACAATACATATGGCACGTTTGTTTCTTTGGTGAGTGCTACATATGAACTTAATATTCATTTCATCAACTTTTTTTATTATAATTTGAATTCACAAAATGATTACGGAGGTGTGAACCGAAATGATAAGCAAATAAGTATAAAAAATTATATATCATTCAATACTCAAGATCCAAGAATAATTAAAACAAAAAATAAAAAAAAATATTTTGCCAAACGGGCCTGACGAATTTGAAATCGAGACGTAATATAATTTGTTTTTATCAATTTAAATAGAATGGTTCACGACACTACAACTATAATAAAACTACGCAATTCAAAGGATTTGTAAATTCATACCAACCCAACTCGAGTCAATTCCCGAACCCACAAACAAATTAAGAATATTATTTAACAAATACCCAAAAAAATAATAAATAAATAAATTCAATTTGATTCAATTCGTTACAAATATATTATTAACATCACAGTTATAGAAGTATGCTATAGAATGGTATTATTAAATTTTCAAAAATATCCCATGGCTTTTACTCAACCACCTTACTATAGAGGCTAATAAATTGTGTGCATGACATTAGTAAGGCCAATCATCTAGCCACACAAGATCTTATGCCCCTATTTTTCCCTCTACATATTCAAATTATTTATTTGTCGTACGATAAGTTTGACCGTATAAAAAGAAATCATTTGAGACAATGGGTCAAGCCCATTTTGCCCAATGGGTCAAGCCCGTGTGGTGATTTTTGGATCCAATTGGCCAACCCCATTTTGCCCATAACCTCCCTCTCTACAAAACTTGGGCACCCCTTGGGACACACCCCAAGGTCCAATCCCATGCCTTATAAACCCACTCAAAACTTCCCACCAAATCAATGTGGGACAACCCATTTTCCAACCTTAAGGAATTTTCACCAAAACTCCATTTCCATGGAGCTCACTTTGGCTTCAATTTTCCATTCACCCGATAATGGTTTTGAGCAACCAAATATACCACGTGAATCACAACGCGGCATAGAACGCATTACCGCTTAGACCGGCCAAAATAGACGCACGTGTCCCACCTAAATAATAGACTAAAGTTAGGAAAAAATTCTGTTTTTACCAAGAATTTTTCAACAATTTCCAACAAATTGTTATACAGTAGGGATTAGTTTTAGGTGTGAAAGTATTTTATGGAAAAACTTGAATGTTTGATTATGATGCTTGCATTTAGACACGACCCTGTGCATTGAGGTACATGAAATATTATTGGCCATTCAGATTTGCCAGCTCTAAGGTTGTGTTTTTCTATCTCGATCTAATCATGGTCGATTCTCATAATTGAATCTATTGATAACCTGACTAGTAAATCTATTTGTCCAAAAAAAAAAAGAGTCAAAAAATTTATTGACAAATTGATTATGTGGGCTATCTTTTTTAATAAAAAGGTGCTTCTATGATGAAAGAGGTATTGTGGACTATCTTGTACATTATTTGTAGTCGTCTGTTCATGTCGAACACATAGCCCAACTACCACCTTGAGGCATGGACAACACATTGCCCAGCCAACACCTAAAAGTATTGTCCGCTTTGGCCTAAGCATGATAGCTGGCAAGCCGCGTGGATTTATTCCTTTGATTTTCCAAGGACGCCTCCACAGTAGAAGTGTCCAATGCTATCTTATTAGTCTATTCTAAATATTATCTACAATTGATGTGGGATGGAAACACATATTTCAAACAAGATAATTGAGAATATTATCCACAATCGATGTGGGATGGCAACCCATATGTTTGAAAGAAATGATATAATAACAAATATATAGCTTGGACATGAACTTTGAATACATCATATTAATATTTTTTCAAACTGGTGTTGTTCAATGGTCAATTTTATTGAATTATTTTAGAAAATTTGAAGTTATTTTCAAATTTTCAAAACTTTAATTTATATTTCTTTATTTACCTTGCTGAAACTTTGTCCCACATAAAAAAGAAAGGATAAAAATAATGTATTAATAAATGAAGTTTTCAAAGTAATTTTTAAATCAAAGAGGCTTGATGATTTAAACCAAAAAAGCATTTCGACGGTAAAGGTATTGCTAATCAAGAGTGATAAAAAAAAATTATTAAAAAATCTACGTCAATAAATTTTTATTTCAACTTCACAAATGGTTGATATATATACATTTTTAATAAACTTAAATAATTTGATATGTATAGACTGTTAGTTTTTGAAATTTTAATCATATAATATAATCTTATGAAATCAAATAGAAATCTTGACATGATCGATCAAAATTCTAATATTTAGAGCTTGTTTGGCATGAGGGTTTTTGATGAAAATAGTCAAAATGTCAAAACATTCAATCACATCACTTTCTTTACTTTTTACAGATCTTTTCTTAAAACATAAAAAAATCAATTAAAATAATCAATTCCCAAATAACCCCTCATGTCTCTTTTCACCTCTCCATTTATTTATATTAATCGTAACTAATAGATTAAAATTTTACAATACATATGGCACGTTTGTTTGTTTGGTGAGTGCTACATATGAACTTAATATTCATTTCATCAACTTTTTTCTATTATAATTTGAACTCACAAAATGATTACCGAGGTGTGAACCAAAATGATAAGCAAATAAGTCTCAAACATTAAATTTATATATCATTCAATACTCAAGATCCAATAATAATTAAAACAAAAAATAAAAAAAATTGCCAAACGGGCCTTACGAAGTTGAAATCGAGACGTAATATAATTTGTTTTTATCAATTTAAATAGAATGGTTCACGACACTACAACTATAATAAAAATACACAATTAAAAGGATTTGTAAATTCATACCAACCCAACTCGAGTCTGTAACGCCCTCAAAATAAACCCATAACGTCAAACACTCACGATAAAGAAAAGAGATTTCATATTACAATCATCAGAGTATTCTTACAAAAAGTATTACATGTTGACAACAAAAGTAAATGCCCTATAGGCTTACAACTTCCCAAGTCAACACTTGGTTACAAAAGGAGAGTACCAACTCTACACAAAGTAAGCCCTTGGCTTGATATACATGTAATACAACAAAAACAACAAAAAAGTATCTAACAGCCTCAAGCCTCCTAAGCTACGTCCTTAGAAGTGGCATAGCACCTGCATCTGAAAATGATGTCCCATATAGGGTAAGCCAACGCCCAGTAGAGATATGCTAAACATAATATGAGCAATAACTAAAACGTGAACATTTGATAAATGTTTAACTCACATAAATCAATTCATAATTCATTTCAATTGCATGACAAATATGTCCATGTTTCCTTCCATTTTCCATTACTTATCCAGTTCTCAATTTATGAATAAGGCTCAGAACCTGGCCAATAATTTAATGAGACTATAGCTCATATCAACAATACTTCCATACTTCACAATAGATACACATATTTGCTGTATCAACACGTCAATAGATACACATATTTGCTGTATCAACACTTCAATAGATACACAGATTTGTTGTATCAATAGAGTTCATCCCCTATCTCCTCCCAAAGAATATCCGGTTTAGGAGTCCATCCCCTATCTCCTCCTAAACCGCGGAGTACATCCTCTATCTCCTCCCACACAACACAATGTATATAAACACATATCATATACATAATCAATCAATACATAAATTTGATGTATTATTCCAACCGTCATATTCAATTGATTAGTTTTAATTTACCTAATCATCATCATTGAATGGATAAGCCAACTCATAATCAAAGAGTTGGTAATCTCCCATTGGTCATAACCTGAGTCAGTGGTACTAGGTGCCTGTATCCTGCCATCAACATACCCCATCTTTCCTCTGCTTTTCAAAAACAAAGTCAAACTTTGAGACCATGCTAGGTAGTTCTGACCATTAAATAGAGAGGTGGTGATTTTCAGACTAGGGTTGGGGTTCTCAGTCATGGTAGTAGGTAGAATGGGACTCTCACTCTTTGGTGTTTGAGAAGAAGGGGACACACTGGTGGAATCTGTCATGGATACAATACTACTGAACCCGCAACAAAACTAGTGACAATCACAAACTCGGAAGGTGGTAGTGAGATAACAGGCACAATGACTATTATAAAGACATAACAAAAATTAAGAAACCATTTTTTTTTTTTATATATATATATATATTGATTTATTTATATATACATGTATTTATATATATAAATATATATATCAGGTTATATTTATATATATATCAGCATATATATATATATTTATATATATATCAAGGGTGTGAGATACCAGAGTGACGAAGACGACAGAGAGATGAGGATGACGAGGGCAATGACGACGAGGGCGATGACGGCTGGAGGAGATCGACGGGCTGAGGCGAAGCAGACGAGCAGACGAAGCAGACGAGCAGACGAAGACGAAGACGAAGCAGACGAGCTGAGGGACGAAGACGAAGACGAAGCAGACGAGCTGAGGGACGAAGACGAAGCAGACGAAGACGATACAGACGAAGACGAAGACGACAGAGGACGGCTGGAGGAGATCAACCCAGCAGATGATTCAACTAGGTACGTTTTGAACCCTAACCCTAGAGGTGTAGCTCTGATACCATGAAGCTTGGGTAACCAGCTTGGGGAATGATAGAATATCACCCCCTATTTATAAATGAAGATTAGGGTTTACAAGAAAGGCAATTACAAGATGATCCCTGAGTGCTATCCCTGAGTGCATAAAATGATTATAGACAGACCCTAGTGTACCTTTCGGCTAATATAATATGCTAACACTTAATATAATATGCTAACAACAAATACATGCACGAAAACAACTTCCAAAGCCATTACCAAATGTCGCCATCGAACTATAACTGAAAGCCAAATTAATATGGAAATTTAAAAGAAGGTGCCATCTCCATGTCAGAAACGGGCACCACGTCAGTGAAACTAGACACATACTTGTCCTAGCTTATGTGCATGCAACTATAATATCACACTACTTAAAGCCACAATGAGCCATTTTAGGATGCCAGTAACACCCTATGAGTGAATTTTCTAATTACAAAAATACTTTCAAGTACAATAACTTTCCTACTTACTCGAGACCTTGGAGCACAAACAAAGGTACACAAGCACCAATTCTTAAACTAAGGGGGTCTATTAAGGAGGTCTTTCATCTTTTCTCTAAATTTTTTCATCAATTGCCTAAGAAGTATCTTCTGTCTTTTAACTCAAACCATCATACATAGAAAGGAATGAAGGAAAGGATGGAGACAGAAAGGTACCTCCCCACAATACGCACTGAAGCAAGAAGATCATCTCCCTTTGTTTGACCATGATCCTGCAGAATCATGATTGTGAATGCAGGAGCACCACAGTAACTATTAACCCTTATATGTAAATTACCTTTGCATCTTCTAAGTACTCTAGAATCACACCAATCGTCTCATTGAGCCCGGAGATCACCTTCGTCAAAGTGCTTTCACTAATAACACTACCTGCATATAATTCCACAAAAAATTGTTTTGATCTAGAGGTGCAATTCATAAGAGAAAGAAAAAGGTAAATTCAAGAAAACCACAAAAGTTAGACAGTGGTTTGTTTTTTTTTTTGACAAAAAAAAAGAAGAAGAAATTGTATAGATTATACAACCAGAGAAGAAAAAAGAGATGGGCCTTGTGAAGATTCCCGGGGGGGGGGGGGCAGAAAATATAAACCATAAACTCCTTATACAACCCAACACACAAGCTCTCCCCACTACTAGAATGCATCAATAAAGTGCCAATTTCACAAGGCAGGGCCAATGGGAACCATTAATAATCAAGTATTTTTTTTAGTATAAATTAAATCTTAATTAATGATTAATTAGGTAAGGTATTAATCTTGTTTTTCTCTTATACCTTTTGTAACATTTCATAAGTGAAGCATGTTTAGTGTTGCTCGTGGATTGCAATATGAGTTGGAAGTTATATTATCATATCTCCAAATATGTAACTTAATTGGGTTTAGCTAGGTTTTAGAAATCAAAAGATTAGTTTCCTATTTAGGACTCCAGGTCTTAGCTACGGTAGAGATCTTTAGTGTCTAATAAAGCCATGTAATGTTTATTTATTTATTTTATTCAAAGAATTATTTAAAAAGGTGCCAAACGTGGAGTGACCTCTGTACACAGGTTGTGTACAATAAGAGTTTTTTTTCAAAGTTAAAATAAGAGGCAATATTGGAATGCCCATAGCATCAATTCTGTTTGAGTTCTCTGTAACAAGGTAAGATCAACTACAATATCAATGGGACTTCTCAACTTCATTATAAAAGACACAAGATCAAAAACAAGTTTTGTGGTTTCCCAACTCTCAGCCCAAACCTGGCAAGATTAAGTACCTTCATCATCTCCACCAATGTTTGAAATCAATTTAATTATCCTCTCCACCAAAGAGAAGGCAACAACTAGGTTCTGTTTCTTTAAAAGAATTGATTCGGAGTTGGAAGAAGAATTCTTGGAAGCCTCGTATTTCAAGTAGGCAAGTTCATTGAGAAGAACGGCAACTTCGACTCTTGATGACTCCAACACAAGCAATATACACCTGGCGGAAGAACCAGGCAAAAAAAAAAAAAAAAAATTAGAATCAAGCACCAAAATAAGAGGAAACCAGCCACAACAACATGCTTAGATTACCTGTCTGCTGGAACAAGGTCCTGTGTATCAGACAAGTTCATCTGACCAATGAGCCACCCTTCACCAACTATGGATATTGTGGACTCCGCCAAAACAAGAGCTTGAAGCTTTTCAGCAGGTGCTGCAAGTCAAATTACAAAAGTAGGTGCTTGTAAGCTTCATCCCAAAACTAAGAGCTCCATATGTTAAAAATCAACATAAGGAGGATATCATAGTATCAATGGACAATGCCCCTAGTGAATTCCTCATCGAATATGTACTATTAAAGGAAGAACTTATATTATTCATACAGCATTAGCACAACAGATCTCTCAACGATAGCTAGCATAAAACCAAACCAAACCAAATCAAGCCTTAAGTCCCATCAAATGGGGTCAGCTACATGAATCCTTCTTCTCCACGCGGCCCTATCAAAGGCCATTTCGTTAGTCAAATTAAGTAGATCTATATCTCTATTTATAACGTTAGCCAACGTTAATCTAGGCCTACCCCGTCCCCTAACACTCCCCTCTACTGTTACAGCATCGCATCTCTTCACTACTGCCTCTGTTGGTCTTTGTTGAATGTGACCAAACCATCTCAATCGATTCTCTCTCAACTTATCTTCTATCGGTGCTACTCTTACCCATTCCCGAATACACTCATTCCTAATTCTGTCTTGTCTAGTCTTGCCACACATCCACCTTAACATCCTCATCTCAACCACACCCATCTTATCTACATGTTATTTCTTGGTTGCCCAACACTCCGTCCCATACAACATCGCTGGTCTAATAGCCATTCTATAGAACTTACCTTTTAGTCTAGTGGGTATTCGTTTATCGCACAGTACCCCAGACGCATTTATCCACTTACACCATCCCGCCTTAATCCTATGGGCCACATCCGCATCAATCTCCCCCGTTGTTGTGATAATCGACCCTAAATAACGAAAATGTTCACTCTTAGGCAATTCTTGGTTCTCAATCTTCACTTCTTCTCTACTTTCATTGTTACTGTTACTAAATTTACACTCTATGTACTTTGTCTTATTTCTGCTTATCGAGAAACCTTTAGATTCAAGAACTTTTCTCCAAATCTCCAACTTTGTATTAACTCCTTCTCTAGTCTCATCCACTAGCACCATATCGTCTGCAAAAAACATACACCATGGCATGTCATCCTAAATATTTCTCGTCAGCTCATCCATAACTAAAGCAAAAAGATAAGGGTTTAAGGTAGATCCTTGGTGTAACCCAACAGTGATAGGAAATTCATTCGTCTCTCTAGCAGGCGATCTAATAGTGGTCACCACCCCTTCATACATGTCCCTAATCACATCAATGTAACTTTTTGTCACACCTTTCTTCTCTAACACCCACCATATTATATCTCGGGACACTCTATCATATGCTTTCTTAAGATCGATAAACACCATATAAATGTCTCTTTTCTTTTCTCTATACTTTTCTATTACTCTCCTCAAAAGATAAATCGTTTCTATTGTTGACTTGCCGGACATAAACCCAAATTGATTCTCTGACACCTCTATTATATCTCACAATCAGCGTTCTATCACCCTCCCCACACTTTCATTATATGGCACATTAGCTTGATTCCTCTATAGTTGTTGCAATTCTGGACATCTCCCTTATTCTTATATATTGGCACTAACATACTCTTCCTCTACTCATCTGGCATATTCCTAGTCAACAAAATTTTACTAAACAACCTAGTCAACCAAGTAACCACCTTTTTACCCAAGCACTTCCAAGTTTCAATAGGGATATCATCGGGTCCTAAAACCTTATTTGATTTCATCTTCTTAAGTGTAATCTCCACTTTAAAGTTCCTAATCCTACGATAAAATCTATAGTCTTGGTTTATCATATTACTAGCCATTTCTTCCCCTATTGCCGTACCTCCATGTTCCTCATTTAATAATTTCTCAAAATAGTTCTTCCATCTTTCATTAATCTCTTCATCCTTCACCAATACCTTAGAATCCTCACTCTTGATGCACTTAACTGGATTAAAATTTTTTGTTTTCCTCTGCCGTATCTTAGCAAGTTTGTATACTCTCTTCTCTCCTTCTTTACTATCTAGTCTAGTGTATAGGTCATCATAAGTTTTCAACTTAGCCTCTCACTACTTTTTTGACCTCCTTATTAGCTAATCTATAGCTCTTAAGGTTTTCCTCAGTTCTATCCTTCTGTCACTTTTTAAAGCACTTTTTCTTTGCCTTCACTACCGCTTGAATCTCTTCCCTCCACCAAGTTTCCCTAGCGCTGGGTCTCGTCCCTTTCGACTCTCCAAGAACTTCCCTTGAGATTCTCCTCATACAATTGGCCATCGAATTCCACATAGTGTTAGCATCATCTTTCAAGTCCCAAGTACCTTCCTTATCCATTCTATTCTTAAATATTTATAATTTATCCCATTTTAGGTCCCACCATCCCGTCCTACGACGCCCACCATTCTTTCTAGCTTGGTATTGCCCTCTAAAACATAAATCTAGTACCAAAATCCTATGTTGAGAGGTCAGGCTCTCTCCAGGAATTACCTTACAATCATTGCATTTTAAGTGGTCCACTTTTTTCATTAAGAAATAATCTATTTGGCTCTTAACTGACACACTCTTAAAAGTTGTCAAATGCTCCTCCCTCTTCTTATACATAGTATTGGCCACCACCAGGTCAGGTCAGAAGCCAACACAAAATCTAAGATACTCTCTCCAGCCTCATTTCTGTCACCAAAACCGTATCCACCATGCACCCTTTCATAGCCTAGTTTATCTATGCCTACATGGCCATTAAAATCTCCACCTATAACCAGGTTCTCTCCTACGGGCATCTCCTGTAAGATCTCATCCATTTGCTCCCAAAAATCCCTCTTAGTCTGATCATCTAATCCTAATTGAGGGCGTATGCACTAATAACGTTCACTATATTCCCTCCAATAACTAGTTTAACTAATATAATCATATCCCCTTTCCTAATGACCGCCACTACATTCTCCACCAAACCCTTGGCAATTATGATTCCTACCCTATTCCTGCGTCAGTCCTTACCACTATAATACAGTTTAAAACCGGTATCCTCAATTTTTCTAGCTTTTTCACCCATCTACTTAGTTCCTTGTACGCAAGCTATACTAACTCTCCTCCTAATCATAACATCTACCAATTCCATCGTCTTACCAGTTAAGGTTCTTATATTCCAAGTGGCTACCCTAAACCTATAGTCTTGAACTAGCTTCTTTACCCGCGCTCGTCCAGAAAAACACGGAAACCTTTGCTCATTTTTCACCGCACCCAGGCGTCGATGCGGCGCCCCTTGCTCACTTTTTGAAACACCCGGAGGCAAGCGCAACGCGTTACTTGAGGGTAACGACCTAGCATTTAAACGATTCAAAGTAGGATTCATTTTCATAAGAAATCCGAACGGCTTTTTTTACGTGTTAGCTATCGGCTACCTAACACACAACCCTCCTCCTTAGCCCAGGCTTGGGATCGGCGGAGTTGTTAACAACCCCGGTGGAGTTTCAACAATAGCTAGCATCTGATATGAAAATCCACATTTCGGTTAAAGCTACCAGATTAAAACTTGACAAACACAACACTCAAAGAGTGAGCAACGAGAACCAAGCACAACACCCTAAGCTCTTCTACTCGTAACTCTATTCAGTAACACCACCGATCAAAATAATCAATTCATCAAATATATCAAGACATGTCATGTAATATTGGTATTGAGAAGAATAAAATGCATCTAAAATCAAACAACTATTGTCAAATTCCATGGTTAAAGTTTCTCTAATTTTAGATATAAAAAATATAATATGAATAAAAAACAAAAAATATAAAATCAAATAACTGAACAACATAAAATTAACATGGACACTTTTTCTTTGATCAAAAATGATTTTTAACCAGCCTGGGCCACAGCCTCATTTTAGGCTTCCAAAGGGAGTTTCCTCATTGGAATTTGGAAGGCCATATGCTGCTATATAATTTATTCCTAGGCTCTGTATCTCAAACAGAAGCATTATAGCAGGGCAGCCCAACCCTCTCCAAATAATGATCATAACTGAGATGAAAATATTAAAATGGATGACCAGAAATTCAAGAAGTCCTAGAATAAGAAATTAATACTTCTGTACAGGTTTGAGAACAACATAAGGGAAAACCATCTAAGATGGTTACTGATCAAAGAAAAAAAAAAATCTAAGATGGTTCAATCACGCACAATAGTTGTCAATAAATGCATCTTCACAAAGTGAGCAATTTGACTCTAGTTGAAGGTAACAATAGAACAGAAAGAGCACAGGCAGAGGAATTGGGGCGAAAAGGGCAGTTGCGGGAGGACAAGCAAAATGATTACCAAGGGCTTATAAAAGATAAGTACCAAAAGTAGCTAGGAGAAATCTAACCAACCCCAAGAAGTCGGAAGTGAGACTTCATTGAGCATCACAGATGGCAAAATCTGTTGCATGGGCTACTAACAATGGTCCACAAAACTTGATCAAGTCAAAATAACCCCAAGAATCAAGATGCATTAAAATGATGTGAAGGCAAACACAGAAGAAGACCAATGTTTAACCAAAATAATTTGAAGTTTTACATAGTAACACAAAAATAAGTCGAACATACCAACACGATTCTGTAATATTGCCATGACACCCACACGTATAAAAGTCGACCAAATGTCATCCTTCATTAAACGGAGAGCCTCATGCAATGGTGCCTGCAAATAGCAAGCAGATGTCACAATCAGATTTGAAGTTCATGCAGAACATTTGAAAGAAGAATACATGTCAAAATTCTTACAATTCTATTCCTCCAAAAGGTTTTAAAATTTTCAAAAACACAATACACTTCGTTGATCTGTGTGATTTCATGTCAATTAAAGAAGTGAAGCCAGAAGTTGGGCAGAGCTCCAAATACAACGCCCAAAGTCAATTAAGATTAAGAGCACTAAATGGAAACAGAAAATGAAAATACAACCAAACAAAACAGATCTCTAGTTTCTCAATGCTATAAAAGTTGTAAAAGCATTTATAAAGTATTCAATCAATGATTCAATCAGTAACTAATACCACTCAAGCTTTCAATTTATAGGTCACTGCCAGTTTGAATCCCAATTTCCATAAGCAGTGAACTTTCTGTTAATATAAGCAACTGTCTTGAACTATAGAAGATGGCTCAAAGCATAGATAGGATCTTCAGGTTATCCAAATTTAAATCTTAATAAGCAATCCTCCAGCCAATAGATACTAGCATGTAAATTGAAATTGAAAAGGAATTGCGAATGACAAAATACTTTAATAGTGTCAGCTAGCACTAAATGTCATAAACCAATTCTTTGCAGAGCATGTGACTAAAGAAACTGGCATACAGAATATCTCGAGGAGAGGATGGCAACTAGTAGGTGGAGCGCTTCAAATTTCACAGCATCATGCAGCACAGCAAATTGCTTGGCTATTGTTGCCACCTGAAACAACAATTAATGTCTAAAAACTTCTCTATTGCCAAAGTTTAAACATGATCTAAACATACAATTATATTCTGAAGCAACTGAACTGAAAAATACAACTATGAACTCAACATTGAAAGGATAAACTAAGGACTCCTTAACATATAACCCCACCATCAATGCCAGCTCTGATGGATGTTCGTTGTTAATGGTGTCTAGGGACAGCTTATTTATCATTAACTGAACAAGTCTCATGGCACACTGTACTGAGTGGGAACCTGCACGACGTTAACTCCATAAGTTTCATCATCTGCAATAGCAAGAGTAAAGAGCACAAAGCCATGGACGATATGCCTATATTTCTAGTAATAACTGAGTAGATGTAAACTGCACAGCGCCCAGTAATTATGCTGCTAATAACTAAAGATGCTACAAATGACAACAATTCCCATGGGCCATACTGCCATAATGTTTGCCATTCGCACAACAATCCTATTGCACTAATATGGAATGATGATATACTACACAATCACCTTGGATGTTATGAATGACAACAGCACTCGTTGTATGCTATCTTAGAGCATTAGATTCATTCATACAGGAATGTTTAATAGTTTTCTGTAAAAGATAAAATCAATTAGTTACCATCAGGCAAAGTAGACATCTGAGCAGCTAGCACACTCATGCCTCCAGATTCATACAATGTTGAAACTCCATCTTTATGAGTATTTGATACCAAAAATAAAAATTCATAGCATTCTTCAGTAACGGATGAACCCAACCTGTATCCAACATGCTAGTCGGGTAAGTGATGATAAAATATAAGATGGTCCCCCATCAAATATGTGAAAGTAACCGAAGGGGATTATCTCTGTGAATTAACAGAACAAAAAAATTAACAGAAAGAGAGAAAATTTAAATCAGTACAACCCACAAAAGCATGAATATTTTCTAGATATTTATACCTATCATCATCCATATTATTATTAAAAGTCATAAGATAAGAGTAATTGACAGTGTTGCTTATGGCCATATCCCGTCATAACACAAACTGTTGTCTATGGTTATATACCGTCATAAGACAAACAGTCATCATTCACCAACCTCATAGACGACTTTTTTATCTTTTCCCATGCCTTCATATCTGTACTCCCAAACGCAGCATAAAATGCTGTCCTCTCTCCACGATCAAGCAATTTAACAAACTTTCTCCGTCCTTGTTGCATACAGTGCCATTTTCTAGCTTCTGAAAATTCCACTCATTTATAGTCCCATGATTCCCGTCATATTAAGCTTTTTACCCCTTGTCTTCTATTGCATATGGGATATGTGTATAAGGCTACCCCATTTACATTATTTATATTGTTGCAATGAAAGCACATTTACATCTAACGAACATGGTAAAAACGAGGAATTGAATCACCAAATACCAATCAATCTTCCTGTAGGGGGGGTTCGAAGTGAACAGTGATTAAGAGAGTGATTAGAGAGGCAAAACTACGTTAAAGATCCAACAGATCTGGGCTTGCAGGAAAAATGAGCAACTAAGTGAGAGTAGAGCAAGTGATTCAAAAAGAAAAGAATGGCAATGTACATATTGACAACATCTTCTCAGGTCCCCAAAAATCCTCCTCTCTAAACCTTGGGAAATGAGTCCTATTTATAGACTTTTCCTTAACACCAAAGGATACCAAGTGACCAAATAAAGTGAAGACATGTATCCCTAAGAATCACATCGAATATTCTGCCTTGGATCACAAAGTTAAAGGTGCCACGTGTCCCTGTGCATGTACTATGTACTATCTGTTTGGCATAGATGCATCAACAAGTACACTTGCGATGATAGTGTTTGCCGTTAGCTTGAACCTCAGCAAGTGCACTTGCGCGGTAGTATTTGCTGTTGCACTTGCTTCTCAGTTCGGTTTAGCCAAGACGTGCATTCTCAGGACTTATAGCCTACTATCAACTACATTCATGTTCATCTCAGCGACGCCTCCACCCTTAACCACCTAACTATAAACTACCCAACTTCCCAGGACGAAGGCCACAACTAAGCCTGCTATCAGCCATGCTGTGCCTTAGTACCAAGCAGAAGGAGGCTTCCTTACTCTTGCCTATGCAACCAAGGTAGGTCCATGACCTGAGTAAATAGGAAAGGAGTCCCTTACTTCCGGGGGCTGCCTTGCTCCCATCTTCGCAGGTCGCCGTAGTATACTAGTGCCTATGGGCTTGTTATCAGCTCCAACCAGTAAATTTTTGGGCCTGCTATCAGCGCTGAGCTAATAATGACTTTAGAAGGCCTGCTATCAGTCCTAGGCTGATAATGCCTTGGGGCCTGCTATCAGCGCCAAGCATTAGCCTCTACTTGTGGAGGGGAAGCTTCTCTCAAAGGCTGCTATCACCTTGGTGGAGTGTTCCCTCTACAAGTTAGTTACAACGGTTGTAGTTGCTGTGGTGGCTATTTCTTGTGACAAGTTCAAATGGCGCCGTCGACAATACTAGAGATGGTGGCACCAATAAAGTACCTCAGCAACTTGGTCGCTGCAAGTGCAGCCTCCGCAACTTGACTTAGCCTTTTTTTTATCATGGAGCTTGTTCAGACCTTTGGCGGATCGGACATGTTCTGACCCACTTCCCTTAGGCTTTAACCCATGCTTTTTTTAATCATTCTTGCTCGCCTAACAAGGGCAACCTCAGCACTTAGATCCATACTTAATTTCGACCTTAATTTCTGACCCTCTACACTTCCAAGAATGATATAGCCAATTATGAGGGTTCAATCAACTTGAATATTGGTAAAGCACTAGCCAAAAAATAAAACAAAACAAAACAAAACAATACAATTTTCTTAAAACCAACACATTCAATAAAATGAGCTTCTTGCCCAATGCCATCTGATTTGAATTATATTAAATTCTTACAAATGTTAAATGGACCGAGGTATGAGTGTTGGGTGCAAGTATGTGTAAGTATCAAATTCGTCTAACTTGCATGTCCAAGCAAACAAGGAAATGGAAAACATGATCGTATTTTTTGTGTATTTTGTTTGATAGGTAGATTGAACTATTACATTTCCCATTAATTCTTCTGCCCTTTACACACTCCATTATTATTATTATTATTAACATTTTTATTGGTACTTTTTGAACCAATAAAGTTCATTTTCTCAATTGTGTTTCCTCCACTTATTCAATAAACATAAATGCTCAGGAAGAAATGAAGGAACAATTGTTGTATTAGAAAGCCTTACCCATTTGACATAATCTCCAATATGAGAGGAATCTTTGAGACCATATCTTCAGATGAAGCTATCTCAGGAACCCGACAAAATGCAGCAAGAACAGTAATTGATAACTGCAAATATGCATCACGATTGTCGCCTCCACTCTCACTCACACCTAGTTTTCCCATCCCTACCAAAGAAAACATCCAGCAGGTCATCAAAACCAATTTAAAAATTGAAACTTACGAATTATGGTTGCCAATACAGCTACCGAAAGTAAAACAATCAAATAAATTGCTGACTTCTTCTTTCGCAACTTCACGAGCTGCCTTTATTACACTTCCGGTTGTAAAGTCCCCTTTTGAAACATACATTTCATTTAGAAACATACATTTCATTTATAAATTTTCAAAATCAAAAAAAAGAATTCGCATACTTTTTACGGTACCTTACTTTGACATTAAATGTAAATTATAGATTGGATCGTAACCAACTAAGCCATTTAACTAATTTTTACATTACTTCAAACTAAAAATAAATAATTTTTCACAATCATACCTAGCCCTATCTGTACTTTTTTTTTCTTTTTCTAAATTTTATTGTATTGATGTACCATACTATAAGGGTACCAGTACTGATACCGGAGCTTCATAATAACCAAACCAAACTAACATTTTTTTCAAAGTTGTGTGCTTTATATAATAGAATACCAAACCAAACTAAGTATAATCAAGTGGCATCGTCTATAAGAATCCTTTTTGGCCGTTCAGCCTATCCAGTTCTCCATGCTCAGTTAAATTAAATAAATTCAATTTTTTTATTATTTTTTATTATTATTTTTTTCACTAGATATAAACACACATTCATCTCAAACGAGCAAATAAGTTGTATTAGGCTAGTTAACACTTTCTCGTTTCCTCGATTCCTATACCAATAATGAAGAAGGCATACTTTGTTCCAAATTCATAGAATTTATTTAATTTTCTCAGCAATTTCAGGGAAACCAAACAAAGGAAAAAGAAAGTAAGAAATTGAGAGTGCCGGTTCTGAGGAGGCGATCGAGGAATCGAACACCAACAGCATCGTAGACCCTGCGAATGGAAGCGTAATCGTCCTTGTTACAGAATTTCGTAACAAGAAGAAGACCAGCAAGGCGTTGCTCGTCCCTCTCTCCCTTCAACAGCTTCAAGCAATCTTCGAGACACGGAGACTGTCTCTGCTGTTCCTGTTGCTCCATCAACACCACCACAACAAACAACAACGCTTTTAGAGAGAGAGTGAGAAAGAAAGAAAGAAAGAAAGAAAGAGGAGGTTTTAGAGAGAGAAAGTTGCTCACCATGGAAGTGTGATCAGAGTTCAGACAAAATGAACCGCCAGAGAACGGAGATTTTCGGCGATTTTTGGCGGTGGAGCTGTTCGTAGAGCAGTTTTACTTTCTTCTCGAATCTCGGAGAGTGTATCAGCGGGCTGGCCCGATTACTGTTAGGCCAAGGGTCCACCCATTTGATCTCTGACTTGAAATTCTGAGGTATGGGCCGGCCCACATTCGGTAGTTTGGAAAGTAGTTGGCATTTCAATAAAAGTAAAGTTTTACTGCCAAATAGAGTAAAACTTTACTGTCTCATTACAATGTTTATGCATTTTCTTTAGTGCTTATTGTTTTGTCACTTTGTTGTTTAAAGAAAAATGTTACACTGTTGATATAGGGAAACTTTTTAGTTTTTTAAAATGGTTGTTACAAGAAGCAAATGTGGTGATGATGATGATGATGATTTTGAAGTTCCACCTACGGCTATTCAAAAGAAGAAAGTCCCTAAAAAAAAAAAGCAAAAGTAGTAAAGAATTTCAATCCAATGCTAGTGATGATAAAGGCTCTAATGAAAGCAATCCAATGCCTTCAACAACAAAACCTTCAAAGTTGAATATTGTACATGGAGTACGGGAGAGGGAGAACTATGTGAAAGAATATAGGTCAAATGTTGTTTCATTGATAAACCTAATGCAAGACACATGGTTCACTGAAAGACATATTATTGCCCTCGAGAGAACACCTTTTGAGATGTTGTTTAAATCTTTTTGGAAGAAAGAAGATATGGTGTTAAACAAGTTCAAGAAAGTTGACGATAATGTCATGGATGTGATAAAATCTTATGGCTTTTATGCAAAGGGATTTAAGCTTGGGGGAAAACGTATGACATACGGGACAGTGACGTTACTTTGATTTTTTGGAAACACTTGGTTACAAAAAAAAAGAGTGCTAACTCAATACATATTAAACCCTTGGCTTGAATTTACATGTAATACATCAAAGAAAGCAAATAACAAAACTGTCTGTCTGCCTCTAGCCTCCTAAGCTATGTCCTTGGAGGTGGCATGCTACTTGTACCTGAAAATGATGTCCCATAAAGGGTGAGCCACAGCCCAGTAGAAATAAACTAAACCAGCCATGAATAATGACTAAAAGATTAGCAGTTGATAGATGGTCAACACAGATATATCCACATGTATCACATTTCGATTTCATGACTTTAAGTCCATGTTACATTTCATTTCCCATGTCTTTTCCAACTTTGAGTTTGAAAACAAGGCTCAACACCTAGCCAAATAACTTAATGAGATTTAGACTCATCTTTAAAACACTTTCAAAATTCATGAGGGATACACATTTTAATGCTGTATCAATAACACATAAACCATTCCCACACTTTGCGAAAGATACACATTTCGGTGTTGTATCAACATAACATAGAATCACTTCTATACTTTACAATTGATAACGATATACATTTTAGTGCTATATCAAATCAATTCAAACACTTCCATAATCAACACTTGATACACATTGTAGTGATGTATCAATGTCACACAAAATCCGGTTTAGAAGTCCATCCCCTATCTTCCCCTAAACCGTGGAGTACATCCCTTATCTCCTCCCACACAACACATGTATATAAACATAGATCATATACAATCAATCAATACATGGAATTAATGTATTATTCCAGTTGCTATATTCAATAGCATACTCAATTGATTAGTTTTAGTTTGCCTAATCATCATGCAGTGTCTACAACAATTAAGACTATCCTCCACCGATAGCCTAAAGCAGTTATTTTTATACTGAAAATAAATGTACCTAATGGATATATAATCAACATTTCAACTAGGTGAGCGATGAACGAATCAAACTACACCCTTTAGTCCCATGCACATCCAATTCCAACATTCTCAATTTGATTCTTCTTTTCTTCAAATTAATTATACCAATTAATTCATCAATGTAATTAGAGCATTTCCCATAATTAACATCACAACCCTAAAGTTCCATTTTCACCAATAGTTCAATATTGATCTCATTTCTCTATGCCAAACATACATATAAATTCATATAAACAAAACACCAACTTTTGTAAAATTACACAAAAGCACAAACTTTCTCAAAATTACCCAACAACCCCCAACTCATCAAAATACTAAAATTCAAAGACAAAACTCTAATTTGGAAGGGAGTAGGAATCCCTACCTCAAATTCGGAGCTCAAGGAAAGAAGATAAAGAAACTCAACGTGCTCCAAAACTCAATATTCTCGGATCAAAGTGTAGCCCTCGACGATCAATCCAACTTTTACAAAGGCCGAAGGAAAATGAAACACTCTAACTAGATCAAACCCTAGAGAGAAGGGAGTTTCTAGAGAGAGGAGCTCTCAAAATATCTTTTTAGAAAGTAAGAGAGAGAGAGAATGTAAAAAGTGATTTTAAAATGCCCAGTTGCCAACTGATATACGACATTCTCGCTCGAGCGGAGAACACAACGCTCAAGCGTCAAGAACAAAAAAAACTAGGTACGCTCGAGCGCAAGAAGGCCCGCTCGAGCGCCAATATACAAGAATAAAGTACATCCGCTCGAGCGCAAAAACTAGTCCGCTCAAGCATGGATTTCTCCCTCCCAGAACTTACACCAAAAAGTACTACCCGCTCGAGCGCCAGGGTACCCACTTGAGCGCTACCGCTCGAGCGTAAAGAAACCCGCTCGAGCGTAAAAATCACACCTGCAAAAGTTTTGCAGGGACACGAAATACTGGGAGTGTGCAATCTCCGCTCGAGCGCAATAAGGCCCGTTCGAGCAGAACGACCAAAAACCTGGCAACAAGATTTCAGACCAAGGTTCAACCCACCTATTCAAAACAAGCCCAACACATCCTAAAACTCAAACAAATGGAATTAAAGGACGACAACAAGATAGATACAACTACCAACTCTACGGAACCGAGTCCGGAATACAACAGAACAGTAAAGGGACAACCGGGATCGCTATATTTTCAGAGTAACATGTTACCGTTATTCAGAGTAAAAATCTACTATATTTGTCCTTTTCGTTTAATATACTTACTAATTGTAAAATGTTATTTTTCAGGTTTTTTCCCTCTTGCAATGGCAATTGTCGATACAAAGACTACAAACAGTTAGGAATGGTTTTTTATGCATTTTTTGAATATATTGTTGGATAAAAGACCAATTACCTCATATCTGATCAAAACGCAGGACTTTTGAAGGCTTTACCTAAGGTTTTACCTACTACTTACCACTGTAGACGCGCCCGCGGAGGGGGACCTCATGCTACTACAGTTCGGACTCGATTTGTGTCACGGTTCCTAATCTGAACCAAAGAGTCCAAATCTGGCAAATCGTTTTGAGAAACAGATTTTTGAAAAAGTAGTGCCAAACATGGACTGCTTTGCCAGATACAGAGTCGCCACCTAAATATTTTAAAATGGGGGAATTTAGGAAACCCTGACTCGGTGCCGAAGGCCACATGTCCGTCATCACCGGAGTTGTCTCGGCTCGGGAGCTTGGGTACGATCGGGGAAGGTCAGCTATGAGCACCCCCTTTCGCCCAGTCCGAAGACCGGCCTCTACTAACCATGATATCCGATTTTGAAAACGCTATGTGTTCTTAAACCAATTATTAGCCTAGAATTACTATGTTATGCGCGCAAATCGGCACAACATTGACCTCAGAATGAGGGGAGGTAGAATCCAAGAGGACTTGGAGCTTGTGGAAAGGAGACCCAACTTCATAAGGGACCATAAAGGAGCAATCGGTAGAATCTTCGCCTTGCAAGAGGAAGAAGCGGACCCGTCTGTAATTTAGTACTACACAATTCTTGGGTGCATGTTTTATTTGATACTGGTGCATCACATTCTTTCATATCCTCTGCTTGTGCTAAGTCATTAGAACTTGAATGTGAACCTTTAGAAACTGCCTTAAGTGTAATGTCACCTATGGGAGGATGCACTCGGGTAGGATTGATCTGTAAAGATTGTAAAATAGGAATGTCGAACCTACGCTTAACTTGCGACCTTCGTGTCATGGAAATGTCGGACTTCGATATCATCTTGGGCATGGACTGGTTGTCCGCCCACTGAGCGGTGATCGACTGTCGGCAGAAGAAAGTGGTAGCTCATACATAAGATGGAACACGTTTCCAGTTTAAGGGGGATAGACAAGACCCCATGGTTTCAAAAAAACATCGAATGCAGTGGCGCGATCAACTTGCCAGTAGGATAGCAAACCTGATTCTAAATGAGGAAGGTCGATGAGAGTTAGAGCTTCAACGCGTAGTGTGCGATTATGCAGATGTATTTCCCATGGAATTGCCAGGATTGCCACCAACCCAGGAAGTAGACTTTGGCATCGAGCTACAACCTAGAACTACCCCAATATCCATGGCTCCGTATCGCATGGCACCAGCAGAACTACAAGAATCGAAGACACAACTACAGGAATTGTTCAAGAAAGGATTCGTTAGTCCAAGTACCTTGCCATGAGGAGCACCCGTGTTGTTTGCTAAAAAGAAAGATGGGTTGTTGAGGCTATGCATCGATTATCGTTAACTCAATCGAGTCACAATTAAAAACCGATACCCATTCCCGAGGATTGATGCTCTTTTGACCAACTTAGAGGTTCAAGGTGCTATTCAAAGATCGATCTCAGGTCAGGTTACCATCAACTACGAGTCAAGGAGGAGGATATACCAAAAACTGCCTTTCGTACTAGATGTGGCCACTATGAGTTTGTAGTAATGCCCTTCGAACTAACTAATGCACTGGTAGTATTCATGTGTTTGATGAATAAGATCTTTAGACCATACCTTGACCAATTTGTAGTAGAATTCATTGATGACATCTTGGTATATTCAAGGTCTGAAGAAGAGCATGAGCAACATTTAAGGACTATCCTCCAAGTTCTTAGGGATAATCGACTATATGCCAAGGCGAGTAAATGTGAATCCTGGTTAAATGAAGTAAAATTCTTAGGACACGTGGTATCAAGGAATGGGATTGCGGTAGATCTAACCAAGGTGGAGGTAGTATTAGATTGGAGACAACCACAAACCGTGTCAAAAATTCGCAGCTTCTTAGGATTGGTCGGTTATTACCGGAGGTTCATCCAAGATTTCTCCAAACTAGCCAAACTAATGACTCGTTTGACGCAAAAAAGAGTAAAGTATGAGTGGGATGAAAAATCCTTCCAAGAACTAAAGAAGAGGTTAACTAGTGCACCAATTTTGACCATCCCAGA